TATGAAAGAAAAAAAAATGAATACATAATAAATAATTATCTCTCTAATTTAATTTATAAATAATTTAATTTTGGAGTTTTTTTTAAAGATGAATGGTACTTAATTATACAAAAATTGAAGATACAATAGTCAAAAGTTAAGGACATGTTTGATTAATAGAATTATAATATTGGATTGGGATGGTTAGTCTCTATGTACTCACAATCCCATTTTGATTGCAAATTTTATTAACTAGATTATATGTATGGCGAACATTCAATCCAACAAAATTGACAAAATTTTAATATTGAGAGAAGTTAGGAATCATAATTTCAAGTATGAAAGAAAAAAAAATGAATACATAATAAATAATTATCTCTCTAATTTAATTTGATAATTAATCGCACACTGATTCATGAGATTATTAATCATTTCACTATTAATCATGTTAATCAAATAAGACCTAAGAGTATAGCAACCATATAACATCACTACTAAAAAAAAAATCCTCAAAAAAATCTCAACTTTTGGAGTTTTAGGCTAAACCCAACTTTTGGACTATTAATCAAATTCTACATTGTAGATTTGTCACAATTAACCCAATATTCTTACATAATTTTCAAATATTGTGTTATTATATAATCTTAAATATGGTGAATTTTCCATTATTAATGTGAAAAAAAGTTGTAGAAGTTCAAATAAATGGATTAAATTTCTAACTTCACTCATTATGCATAAATTTAAAATATGTTGCAATAATTAGTTGCTAATGTATGCACCCTTTTATCTTAGTATTAAGTATATATTACAGTTAGAAATTATTTTACTAATAATATTTGAAAATTAAAAATTCATTTTTTAAAGTTTTGAGTAGTCTTGTCTTTATAATAATGTAGTGGTGTCATTGTAATTTAATTATATATTAATAAAAAAATTATAATTATAATTATAATTATTAATATTTATAATATTTTTCATTTAGTTGCAAATATTTTTTTAACTGACACATGTCAGTGTAATTCTCAAAAAAAAAAAAAACTTGTCATTAATTTTTATTTTATAAATGTAATGATGTGCTTTAAATTATTTCATCTGATTTTTTTTTACCAACTCTAGTTTATTTCATTAATTTTTTTTTTTCTTTACCAACTCTAGTTTGAAGACATTTGTTCAACCATTTTAGATAGGTCTTTCCTTTTTTATTTTTTATTTATGATTATTTGGAATTCACCTAAAGATAGTTGTGAGATTTTTTGTGTATCGTTTGTAATTGTTTGTAAACTCTTAGTTAATAGTAGAATCGGATTATCATCTCGTAGATGTACTGCACATTAAGAAAATCATGTAAAAAATTCTTGTGTCATTGATTTAATTTTTTGCGTGTTATTATTTTTTTTATTTCCTTTGATTGATTTATAGTACTTGTAGGAAAATCATATTTTTCCCTAACGCATCCATGCAATCCGTTTTGTTGTTAACTTGATCTTGAACAATGTTGAAATGTACAAGTCTCTAATTATAAATTATGATCATTGAAAAAAGGGTCTGTGAAAATGCTTCATATTTTTCCCTAACACATCAATGCAATCCATTTTATTGTTAATTTGATCTTGAACAATGTTGAAATGTACAATTCTCCAATTATAAATTCTGATCTTTGAAAAAGGGTTTGTGAAAATGCTTAAATAAATCCAATAATGATGAAAAAATATAGAATAGCAAGAGGTATAGTTAGTGAGATTAATAGCGAAACGTAATAACAAAAATTTTACTATTTTTTTCTTTTCCACTATTATTTCTTTTCATTTTGTTATTTTTTTTTCCTCCCAAAGTCCAACTAACAAATTAATTTTGTTTGTTTGTTTGTTTGTGTTTTAGGGTTTAGGGTCTTTAATATCTGTGTGAGTGATTTTCCGACCACACTGCCCGCTTAGTAATCAACTGGAGAGCACCGGCAGAATAGATGGCTTTAGCTAACCTGTAACAGAAAGAAAAGGCTCCGACGGTAGTTCTTCCACCCGGGGGCACTCCGACGATCAAGTCAGTATATCTCTCAAAGATAATCAAGTGCTAAACTTATTGCTCAAAACATAAATTGCATACCTTAGACCTATGGGGGTGCCTCTCTTTTATAATTAACTCAATCCAAGTCCTACTAGAAACATGACTTCTATGGACTCCAATTCTGTGCTTACATGGATTCCTCAAAAGATAAAGATAAACTCCCTAAGAGCTTTATCCTTATCTTGGCTAAGTCTCCTCTTTGTCCTAGGACTCTTGTCCCTTATCCGCTTATCTCAGATTCCGATATCTTCGGAGATAACCTCGGCAACTTCGAGATCACCTCGGCGTAACTACCACGACACGTGGCACCTCGGCTGACACGTCGGCGTCACCATGCCACGTGTTGGTACTCAGAAAATATATCCCCACAACTGCCCCCTAGGTTCTATTACCTCGGCATTCTGAGGTGATGGAACCTATATCGTTCCTCTTTTCAGTACGTCGGCGTAAGAACTCCTCGGCCGTGATCATTCACGTTAGGCCGACATGCCTCCATCAAAGAACAAAAACTCAAACGAACTCCCCCACGCGCATGAGCTGTCATGCATCTCTTCTCAACCGTTACCCTTACGTGTTCTATCTTCATTGGCCCGTGTCTGTGACGCGCTTGTAAGCCGTCTTTCATCCGTCTGCGCCGTCTGACGCGTACGTTCCTCCAGGCGCAATAAATGCCCTGTTTTGCTGCCGTTTCAAGTTTTTGATAAAACTTTTCTTTCCCTCTTCACCTCTTTACTTTTGCACTCGATTTTCTGGCTTTCTCTCTCTCTTAAACTTTCTCAAATCCTCCATTGCTCTAGCTCCAAGCTCTGCAACCGTCTTCATTCTTCCATTCCAGCGAAGCTTTCGCCGTTCCGTTGTGTCTGCAACCGTGCCTTACCTCGGCGTCTTTCATTCCGGCTTCATTTGTTCTGCTAAGCCTTTGTTCCTCTTATTCCCAATTTCTTCTATGTGCTTTCATTTACTTACTGCCATTATTGCTCTGTTTCAAACCTTTTGATTTGCTGAACTATTCATCTGGATGTGTCTATTCATGATTTCAATCATATCTTGAACACTTGCACGGTTTCAACACTTTTCTTGCCACTGTTCTTGACCATTTACTTATGTATTTCCTTTGCTTTTGAGAACCACACCTCTGTTCTTTGTTTCTGAAACGTCATTCTTTGTTTCTTGTTTTCTATTTTTCCTTTCCAGATCTCTGCTTGTAATTCTTTCTTTCAATCTTTGCCCTCATAGATTTAGGTTTGGGATTTGTCTATAGAACCCTCAATTTTTAGGAAAAACTGAAACAATCCTTCCCAGCATATACCTAGGGTTTCGCCGAGGTCCCGATAACCCTTTAAGAGCACCTTCTTTCTAAAACCTAGCCCTCTGTCCTTAGGCCGACGTTATGGGTATGTGGAGACATAGGGTAGATACCCCGACCAAACTTGAGTACTTTAGACAAGAGTTCTCCGTCCCTGCCGATGTCCATCTGAGACTGGCTGGGGATGATGACTCCATCATGCCTACCGAAAACACCATGCCTCTCCCTATTGTAGCCTTTACTGAGTGTGGACTTCGGCTTCCACTTAACATTCTTTTTCGCGAGATTCTGCATTATTATAAGTTGAACCCTATGCAACTTGCCATAAACTCTTATCGAGTGATTTTTGGTATCATCGCCTTAGCCAGACAAGAAAATGTTAGAATCACCCTAGTCGACATACAGTATTGTTACACCATCTGCCGCCTTAACCTGAAGGAAAAAGGTTACGTCTATTACCTCAAGCCGAGGTCTACTGAATTCAAAATTGTAGCCGACCTTCCAGACTCCAACAAGGGGGTTGGAGATGATTATGTTATCACTTCGGGAAATTGGGAGTTTGGTGCAGACGAGAACGCCCATCTCTACCCTCTTCCCCGATCAATTAAAGAGGGCAAGGGTAAGAGTCCAGTGTCAATACTTAGTTGTTTCTGTTCAAGTCTTCAATAATTTATCTGTTTCTAATGTCTGTTTCTTCTTGCAGACGTTCGTAAGCCAGCGAAAGACTTCCGCCAATCCTATGTTCCCAGCAAGGACCTGAAAAAGCTCATGGACTTGCCTGTCCACAAAAGAAAAGCACCTCTACTCCTAAACTTCATTTCCACATACAAATCGATTCTGCCCGACGTCCCGAAAAGAAAAAAGAAAAGCCTTTCTCCCCCTACTGCCACAACTCAAACCGCCTCTTCATCACGAACAGATCAAGGGTCAACCTCTGATCCAGCCGATCAACCATCAACTTCAGCCCCATACTTAGTCCCAATACCAAAAAGGAAATGTCGGCGTCGACTCGTCAAAACTACTGAGATGGGTCGCCCGAAGCCTGTTGCCCAAGATCTCCTAGCCGACCTTCCTACGGATGTTGACGCTCAACCAACCCAATCCATGCCCCCACCAAAGCCAAAAAGAACCAAAAAAGCTCAGCCCAAGACCAAAGCCACTGTAGTTGAGACTGAAGATACTCTGCCAATTTCACAATTGGCTGGGAATGAGAAGACCGATTCTATTTCCACAAAAAGGTCGGCTGAAACACAGCCAGCAGAATCTTCAAAGTCAAAGAAAGCGAGGTCGTCCTCTGCAACGGCTACGGGGTCCAAAAAGCACGACGTCCCCTGGGCCCCAAAGTTTACTTTGGAGGACAGGCCAATCATGTCTAGTGAAAGCGCCGACGACATTAACGTCGGTGTCGCCCTCAGCACCTCTCTTCTCCTTCCAGGGGACCTGGAGCGAAATGCTGAGCATAGTGAGTATGAGAACTACGCTTTAATGCTCCAGCACTCCGTTCAAGTAAGTGTTCCTGCTTTGAACTTTTGACTTTTCTTTTTGTTTCATATTTAAAATATTTTCTAACACTTCTATTTTCTTTCAGGCCATCCAGCATGCCCATTCGTTTTCAATGCAATCTTTTGAAAATCGGCAAAGATTGGCCGACATGAAGAGGGAGGTTTCTGCCCTGAAAAAGGAGAACAAGACTCTTGAATCAAAGATGAAAAAGCTGGAAGATCAGGCCGAGGCTGCCACTAAGGCCCAACAGATGGCCGAAGAAAAAGCGGAGTCTGCTGAGGCTATAAGAAAAGTTGCTGAGGCCGAAAAGAGAGAGGCCGAGGTCAAAAAGGCCCAAGCTGAAAAAGAGCTTCAGAAGGCTCTGGTAACCAAAGAAGCCGAAATCAAGGAAGCTGATGAGAAGGCTTACGCCCAGGGCATAGCTGACGTCACTGAGGAATACAAACTTCAAGTCAGGCAGGCACGCAACAGGGGCTTCTCCCTTGGTTGGATGGCCCTTGCCAAGAAGCTTAACATTCCTGACGATTCGCCACTGCGTAAAGCTGACGTTATTCCTCTGCTGTTCCCCCCACCTCCTCCATCAAGTCAACCTGAAGGAGAGTCTGAATCTGAGCCTGAAGGTGAGGAGGAAGGTGAGGACGAGGCTTTAGTAAGGAAGTCCAAGGAGGCTGGTGAGATCAAGTCTCCTCCTCAGGATGATCAAGTCCTAGACTTGACTCATGAGGAGGATGAGGAGGTTATCAAGGAGGCCACTCCTGAGAAAGCGTCATCTAATGTTCCTCCAGTTGGCAAGAGCGTTGATGAAACACTTACCGAGATCGACGCCGAGATCGCCGCAGATAAGGAAGCCGAGGTATCTCTCCAGGAGACTTCTGAGGTTCAGATCCAACCAGTTGTTGATGCTGAAAAGTCTTAATTTTCATATCTTTTCTTTTGCACCCTTGTATTTTGTTTTGTTTTCTGGATAATGTAAGCTTCCTTTCACGGCCGATGTGCCTTTCTTTGTACATAACTGCAACTGTTTTTCTATGGATGCTTCAATCTTTTAATTTCTCTTCATTTGCTTCTGCATGGTTTTGTACTTAGAATATTTTGCATGCCTTTTATATTTTGCCACCTTTGCGCAATCTTCTCGGGGTTACATATCTCGGGTGTAATAACTACAAGCTTTACTTCGGCAAGTTACTGACCTGCAAACTTTTCATAAATTTCAACAAGTGTAAAACATATACTATTCAATGTCAACTTTGCGAACCTTTCTCAATGTTTCAATCAAGTGTTTATACAGTGATCTTAGTGTAATCTACTTGTAAATTGCTACAAATTTCAACAAGTGTTATCATATAATTGATACTGAAAACTTTCTCAAGTTATAACAAGTGTTTAAGCAATAGATCTACTTTGTAAATTTGCTTGCAAATTTTAACAAGTGTTTAAACAATTATACTTAGCTTTTACTTCAACCTGGTAAACGTTGCAAATTTAACATATGATCACTTGTCGGCCTTAACATGTATCTTGTAAATTGCTACAATTTCAACAAGTGTTAAGCATCTTCTTTGGTTCGGACCAACCTGTATAGATTGCTATAAGTGTGCAAACTATAACTCGGCTTCATTTCGACTTGTAAATTGCTTACAAATTTTCAACAAGTGAAGAGAAACAGTAAACTCGGCTTAACTTCAACTTGTAAATTGCTATAAATTTCAACAAGTGGAAGATAAGGAACCAGCTTAACTTTAACTTGTTAATTGCTATAGAATTTCAACAAGTGCAAGATAAGGAACCAGCTATACTTCAACTTGTAAATTGCCTACAAATTTCATCAAGTGAAAGAAAGGAACCAGCTTACTTCAACTTGTAAATTGCTACAAATTCACAACAGTGAATTTAAGGTCGTCTGTCTTCTCTCTGCCCCCAATGTGAACCTAAGTTCCACTTGGGTTCTCATTATTCATGTCTAACATTGTGTATCTTTATCAATCATATGTGTTTGAAGAATTCAGAAAAAGATTTTACTGATGACATCGGCCCAAGATAATGCACATCTATGATAGAAAAATTTCAGATTACAAGTGTTTCAAGGGTCTTTGGTAATGTCTTTGCCCTCATTGTCTTCAAGCCGAATAAGCTCCATTGCCTAATACCGAAGTTAATTCTGTAGGGTCCTTCCATTTTGGGCCAAGCTTGCCTTCTCTGGGATACTTCTTGTTGCCGACGACTTTTCTCAGGGATAGGTCGCCGACTTTGAAAATCTCTTTGGATTGACCTTTTGTTATAAGCTCTGGCAAGCTGTTGCTGGTATACTGCTGAGCTAATTGCATCTTTCTCTCTTCGTTTCTTCTAAAAGATCCAGATCTCGGGCAAGGTATGTTCATTGGTGCCATTCTTTACTCCCTGGGTTCATGATCCCTGGATACGATCTCCAATGTGGATGACTGCTTCTGTGCCATAAGCCATGGCAAAGGGGATTCCCTTGTTGATCTTCTCGGCATAGTCCGATATGCCCAAAGTACGTTGGGCAACTCGTCTTACCCACTTTTCCTTTGCTGCCTGCAGCCTTTTCTTTTTTCCATCTAAATTACTTTGTTGGATGCTTTCTATGCCCATTACTTTGGGGAAAACTTAGTGTTAAAAAAGTATTCTTGATCTTGAATTTCGACACAAAAGTTCTTGATGAGTTTGCTGTCAAACTGGTGTTCCGTTGTCGGCAATTATTGCTCTTGGAATCCCAAATCTGGTGATGATGTTTCTCCATATAAAGCTCTTGACGTCCACATCTTGGATTTTGGCAAGGGGTTCTGCCTCTATCCACTTCGTAAAGTAATGTATGCTACCAGCAAGGTATTTTCTCTGCCCAGTTGCCTGGGGGAGTTGCCCCACAAGATCCATGCCCCATTGGGCAAAACGGCCAAGGGCTGGATACTGGGCAGATCAAGTGGCTGGCTGATGTACAATGGTATCTCTTG